GCCTGGTGCGGGCAAGAGGGTCTGTACAGGGGGCTCGAGTCCATCGAGGGCTTCCCAGCCCCAGGGGGGGCGGTGGGGGCCCAGAGCCTGGTGGGGACGAGGGTATTGCTGCTGCGGGGAGGCGCATCCCGCCGCGGCTGAGGTAACCAGAGCGTCGGTGCAGGAGGGGATGGGGCCCAGGGGGGGCTGTGGCCAAGCCCTCGCTGGCTCTCCTCCGCACCCGGAGCACCACCGCCGCGCCGCCGGCACCTGTCCCCCAGCACGTTATTGCTTCGTTAATGGTGGTGGGGGGCTGCGGGGGCTTCACTGCCGGCTGGTCTCCTGTTCCACCTTGATGGTGCCGCGGGGGGGATCCGGGGGAGCTGGAGGACCCCGTTCTGCTAGCCCGTCCTCAAACTCTGTGGGGAGACAGGGAAGATGTCGTCAGGGCACCGCTTCCGTAGGGAGAAGGCAGCAGTGCCATCTGGGCACCCCTGTCCACGGCAACCCCTCAGCCCCACGGGGGCTCACCTGGTCCCGTGGGCTTCCCCGGCAGGCAGGGGCTGAGCCGCCCCACGCGCTCGTGCGAGACCAGCCGGGCCAGGCGCAGCCCCTCGTCCATCAGCGTCTGCTGGAGGATGTGGCGACTCCAGAGCCCGTGGGGGGGGAGGCCAAGGGGCACGTCGGGGGCCGCGCCAGGCGGTGGCGTCAGCCGGGGACAGGCCCCCACCGCTGCGGAGAGAAGGGTGAGAGTCAGTGCTGAAGGGCTGGTGGAGGGGGGGGCCGGCCACTGCCTGCCCACGGATGCCCCGGGATGGGAAGGGGCCCCCACTCACCCTGCAAGTGGCCGTCGAGGCTCTCCCCAGAGAGGCTGGCTGCGTCCTCCTCCAGGCTGGCTCGGTACGCGGTCCCGGGGGGCTCTGGCCCCACCTGCAGCTGCAGCAGCTCGGCGCGGCTCTGCTCTCCTACCTGCCAAAAGCACGCGGGTGAGCGCAGAGCACCGTGGACGGGCCCTATCCTGCCGAGGGGCTCTGCACCCACCCACCCCAGGATGCCCACAGCTGCACGCACAGCACCAGCCCCACAGCCGCCGACCCGGAGCCCCTCACTGCCTGCCCAGGACAGTGCGGGCAGCCCCAGGCACACCCCACCATCCCGCCCAGGTGTGGGCGAGCACCCGCCCACGCTCACAGGTGTGCACACCTGCACGCGCATGCGCACCCACCTGCACCTGCACCCCCGTGCATGTGGCTGCGTACCCCCCCCCACCTACTTCCCCCGGCTTTTCACCTGCCTCTCACTT